ACACCAGCTGCCATTTCCATCTATGTTATTACCTATGGCAGACACATACACATGCTGACAGACAGTTGAGTCAGTCAGTCCATCCTTAAGATTACCAAAGGACCAGAAAGATTATCTACTGACTGTACTGTGCAGATTTTACATTGAGTTTGAAGTGTTCAGTTATATATAACATTCTGGATCCGTTCATCAAGAACTCATCCATAATTCTTCCTGGAAGTATTCTCATGTGTAGCTGTCAGGATCTTTCCAGAGAGACTTTTAAAAAAATTCTGTAACCCTAAAAATGATGTTTCCTACTTTCTGATTTGTTGCAATATAAACAGATAATATTTACAGATAATATAAGTAAATCCTGAGTTCATTTTCATACTGTGAACTATACTATCGCCATGTTGACCTGTTCAGTTTACTGTATACTTTGTGAAGCCATATTCTCAACAATATATAGAGATACCAATTATTGCTAGTAATTAGTCTTGTATTCTGAAAGATTGGGCACCACTTCAGAGTTGAAGAGAAAGTGAATAACATTTAATGTTTTTAACTATATCTTGGAGTTAGAAAACATCATAGAGATCACTGGCTCTATTTTTTTTAATGAAACAAAAAATTTAAAAGAGATTGTGACTTATAGTCATTGGCCTAGATAGCAGTTTTCTTTCTTTCTTTTTCTTTTTTTTTTTTTTTTTGAGACAGAGTCTTACTCTGTCACCCAGGCTGGAGTGCAATGGCATGATCTCAGCTCACTGCAGCCTCCGCCTCCCAGGTTCAGGCGATTCTCTTGCTTCAGCCTCCTGAGTAGCCGGGATTACAGGCACGTGCCACTGCGCCCAGCTAATTTTTGTATTTTTAGTAGAGACAGGGTTTCAACATCTTGGCCAGGCTGGTCTTGAACTCCTGACCTCGTGATCCACCCACCTTGGCCTCCCAAAGTTCTGGGATTACAGGCGTGAGCCACCGAGACCGGCCAGCAGTTTTCTTTTTTAATATATACTTTATTCCCAAGATTGCATGTAATTAAATATTTGCAGTTTACACATCTCTATAGAAATGCAATGAACAAATTTGAATTCAGAGAGACTCAAAGAGGGCAAGTTACTTCATGTTTCATTGTCTCTGTTTTTTTTAAATGTAAAATGGGCCAATTTTTTTTTTATTGAGCATTAAGTGTTTGTTTTGAAGACCTAAAGAGTAATACATAGTACTAATACATGGTACATACAGCATGGTTGAATCTTGAAGGTACTGTGCTAAGTGAAAGAAGCCAGACACAGGCCGAGCGTGGTGGCTCCCACCTGTAATCCCAACACTTTGGGAGGCCTAGAGGGGTGGAGTACTTGAGGTCAGGTCAAGACCAGCCTGACCAACTTGGTGAAACCCCATCTCTCCTAAAAATACAGCAAAATTAGCTGGGTGTGGTGGAGTGCGCCTGTAGTTCCAGCTACTCAGGAGGCTGAGGCAGAAAAATCCCTTGAACCTGGGAGGTGGAGGTTGCAGTGAGCTGAGATCGTGCCGCTGCACTTCAGCCTGGACAAGAGCGAAACTTCATCTCAAAAAAAAAAAAAAAGAAAAAAAGCCAACACAAAAGAGCACATATTATAATTTATTTATATGAAATGTCCAGAAGAGCCAAATCAGTAGAGACAGAAAATAGATAAGTGGTTGCCAGGGGCTTAGGGGTTGGGGGTGGCAGGGAAGGAATGGAGAGTGACTGCTGATAGGTACAGTTTCCTTTCAGCATAATGAAAACGTTCTGAAATTAGTGGTGATGGTTACACATCTTCGTGAATATACTTAGAACTACTGAGTTGTATACTGCAAAGTGTGAAATATATCATATGTAAATTTATACCTCACTAAGAAAACAAACCAGTAATGCATGTAAAGTACTTATCAGGTACCTGTTACATAATAAACCTTTTTTTTTCTTTTGAGATGGAGTCTCGCTCTGTTTCCCAGGCTAGAATGCAGTGGCACCATCTTGGCTCACTGCAACCTCCACCTCCTGGGTTCCGATGATCCTCCCACCTCAGTCTCCCAAGTAGCTAGTACTACAGGCATGTACCACCACGCCCAGCTAATTTGTGTTATTTTTAGTAGAGGGTTTCACCATGTTGGCCAGGCTGTCTCAATAAGCTGTCTTGGCTACTGTTATTAGGAACCAGTTGTGAATTTTAAGAAAATAATGCTGAAAAACTAGGATGTATAGGCTGGGTGGGGTGGCTCATGCCTGTAATCCCAGCACTTTGGGAGGCCTAGGTGGGTGGATCATCTGAGGTCAGGAGTTCAAGACCAGCCTGGCCAACATGGTGAAACCCCATCTCTGCTGAAAATAGAAAAATTAGCTGGGCATGATGGTGGGCACCTGTAATCCCAGCTATGTGGGAGGCTGCGGTGGGAGGATCACTTGAACCTGGGAGGAGGAGGTTGAAATGAGCCGAGATTGTGCTATTGCACTCCAGCCTGGGAGACAAGAGTGAGACTTTGTCTAAATAAAAAAAAAAAAAAAGGGAAGAAAAACTAGGAAGTATAATATTTAGTATTTATTTAATTTTATTTTTTGAGACAGAGCCTCACTCTGTCACCAGACTGGAGTGCAGTGGCATGATATCAGCTCACTGCAACCTCTACCTCCCAGGCTCAAGCGATTCTCTTGCCTCAGTCTCCCAAGTAGCTGAGATTACAGGTGCGCGCCACCATGCCCAGCTATTCTTTGTATTTTTAGCAGAGACAGGATTTCACCATGTTGGCCAGGATAGTCTTGATCTCTTGACCTCATGATCCACCCACCTTGGCTTCCCAAAGTGCTGGGATTTCAGGCGTGAGCCACCACGTCCGGCCCAGTATTGTAGTTTGTTTTACTACCTGAAATACAAATGATTTAACCACTAATGGTGAATTTTAATTACTTTTCAGCAGTAGAATGTAAAAAAGATATTTACTAACGCTAGTTTCCAAATTCAGGTATTAATCATAGTGAGTTTTTTCAGGAAATAATCCATGTTTTCTTCAGTATTACAGTACTATTTCAACATTTTTCTTAATATAAAAATATATGCCATTAAAATGGTAATTTTGTGTTGTGTAAATTTTACCATGATTTTTAAAAATAATAAATACTATATTTTATAAGAGTTTTTAATCCTTGAGAAGCCTTCTTGCCATGTGTATAGTCCTGTCCTTTTTATTATTTCAGAAAAAGGTAATCATAGGGATAGAAATCTTTAATGATGGCAGTTTATGTGTATCTTTCGTATGGGCATTTAAAATGTGTATTATTACAGCTGACATCTAGTACACCTATCTACTTAAGTAATAAATGGGGCACACAGGAAGTAAATTCCTAAATTAATCTCATGTTGTTAGTGTGATAAAATAGAATCAGTGCCGTTGGTCTGGGGTAAAGTGATGTTTTAGCTTCTCTCCTCAGCTTTCATAGTGCTGCCAGTAACTTAAAGAGTAGAAAACGCTCTGGTTAACTCTCAGAATCTGTAATGAAGCGCCACTGTAGATCTTCCTGTGGTGCTGGTAACAGGAAAAAAAAAATTGTTTTTGTTTTAAGGGCTTACATAAGATATTTGAGGCGAAGAATTCACTAATGATAGCCCCAGTGACTACAAATAGTTCTTGATGTATGATGTTTGCTCAGATATGTGTTTGATAAATTTATTTACAGGTATTCATTGGGATGCAATTTGATGATAATTAAATACATAAATTGTGATCGCTGTTTATCAAGCCGATTTTATATGCTAGCATTTTGTTTGAGTGAGAGATTGGGTGGGGATGGAGCTAGCAGGAAATTCTGTAAGCGTTATTGCCTTCGAGGAACTTGGAAAGTTGGCTGCGATGGGGAGGATACTAAAGAATGGTGTAATAAAACACAAGGTTGAATGTAGCCAAGTGCTTCAGTACTTGGTGAAGGTGCGAAATGCACCATGTGAAGAGAAAAGAATGCAGTGGTGACTAGATTTATGGTAGAAATGAGACTTGGGGTAGGCCTCGAAGGACTATCTTAAAGGCTAAGAAAGGGTAAAAGGTATTTCCATGTAGGGTCGCTGATCAGTTATGAGACCAACTAGAGCAAAGGTGTAAAGCCTGCTGGTCAACCCCTCGAAAGTTAATGAAATGTGAGCCCCATCTGGCCGGAGCTGGGAAGTACACTTTGGGAGAAGGTGACAGACATGGTTAGATTGGTTAAGTGAGATGGTCTTATACAGAATCTTCAGCAGCAGAACTGGAGTAGTTCATAGTTCACAGACTCCTGGAGGAGGAGTGAGGGAACTTAGTATAGGTTCCCAAACTGAAAGATGAATTGGTGTTTAAGGAGAAATTAATTTGGTGGTTTTGTGTAGGGTGTGAAAATGGGGCTGGAGAGACTAATAAATGGGTTTGCTCCATAGTGCCCCTGTGTGAGGTATACGGTTTTTTTTTTTTTTTTTTAGCAGTGCAGTGGCACAATCTCGGCTCACTGCAGTCTCTGCCTCCTGGGCTCAAGCGGTTCTCGCTGTCTCAGCCTCCTGAGTAGCTGGGACTGCAGGCACATGCCACCACGCCTGGCTAATTTTTTGTATTTTCAGTAGGGACGGGGTTTCACCATCTTGGCCAGGCCGATCTTGAACTCCTGACCTCAAGTGATCCACCTGCCTCAGCCTCCCAAAGTGCTGAAATTACAAGTGTGAGCCTCTGCACCTGGCTGGGTGTACACCTTTATATGACAGATAAGGCTGGTCCTAGGCAGAATTATAAGTAGCTTATTGCCTTGTGCCTTTTTCCCCCCCCACTATTTACCCCGTGTCTCTCTTAATTGTCTCCATAGACCCTAATATTATAGTAGATTGTCTAGCTATCATGATAGATTTTAGACAATCAGCTGTTATTCAGTCAGTTTGTGATTTGGGGGATAAATTCCTTAAAAACACACACACACACAAATTCTCACTTTAATAAGTGACTTTTGTAAACCAAGAGCTTTCCTTGTCAAATTTTCATTATAGGTTAATGGTGAAATGGCAGGTAATTCACACTTTTGGACAGAGCACACCGCCCCCGTGGAATCACCCTACAGAAGAGGCCACCTATAAAGGATGTCTGACACCTTTAAGATCAGTGTTTCTCAATGTGTGGACCATGGATACCTGTATTAGAATACCCAAAGGATTTGTTTAAAATTCAGGCTGAGCCCCTCCCAAGACCTAATAGAGCTAAAAGCTTTGGGAGTAGGTGGAGGAAACCTGCATCTTTACCCAGCAATCCAGGTAATTTATATGCATACTACATTTTGAGACCCACTGATAAAAGAATTCAAATTTTCTGTAGACTTACTCTAGCAAGGAGCCTTCTCAGGTTTCATTTCTTACATATTAGGTTATTTCTACATGGGACATTTCCCAGTAGACCATATTATTTGTGGCATCTTATTAGGTGGAAGCCAAAATAGCATTAAATAATCTACTGGTGTTTGGGGGCTAATTTTCCACTATTTCTTACAGTGTAAGCAGTTCTTGTTACCTAGTAAAACAAACGGTTTCCCCTTTGAAGGGTTGAATACTATTCACATAGCAGCCCCGCCTGTGGTATTTGTGTTTAATCTGTCAAATCTCATTAAATTAAATTCTTCCTCAATAAGAATGCTAGTGATACCCATTTCTAGAATTGAATGATTTCTACTCTGCCTGTTGGACTGCTAATTTGAAATCCCCTATAATAATTAGACCCCTCCTTAGAGTATATTATAATGACTATTGAATCTGTATTTAAAAATTCTAGTAACTGAAGTATCCAGTCTTAACAAAACAAAACAAAACAAAACAAAAAAACAGGAATTCCAAAACAGTCTCAGAAATTAGAGTAGAAGTTAGCCTATTTTAGATGTGTGCAGGGATGGGGAGGGGGGTGTGGGGGAAAGAAGGTGAGTTACTAAGTATCATTTATTCAGTGTCATTTATTTCTTGCTGTGTAAAAATTCAAACACAAGACCTTATAGCTGCCCTTTTATTACACTTGGCTTCCTTTTAGCTTTATTGACCTTTGGTTAGTACACATGTTCATAAATTTAGACTACTATCATTTTATTTGACTGACAAACACTTATAAATGAGTTTATTCATACTCATTTTAGGTGGAGTCAGAAATGGAACCTAGACTGTAACATATAATATGGCATGCTGCTTTTCATGCTGGTTTCGTGGTAACATTGAAACTAAAATGTTTCTTTCTAATGTGTCCACCCTGCCTGCCATCCTTAAACTAGAGCCCTTGTCTGCAGTCTGAAAAGAGCAGCAGCAGGAAGGAAGCAATGGATTTATACACATTTGAATTAGTCTGTAAAGTCAAAAAGCTCTATTTGTTCAAGAAGAGACAGCAGCAGCAGTAATGCTGTATGCATCAAGTGGATGAGATGCATCTGTGCAAGCTATCATCTTTCTAAGAAAAGCATTTTAACAAGGCAGATTTGTTCCTACTTTTTTTCCTATATATCTCTTGTGTTGATTTTTAATTTGGATTGTTTTCCACTGGCCTAAAAAATGTAAGTCTTTCTCAAAGAAGACTGTATTTTATAGCTAATAATATTTCAAGATTCCATCATAATGTACATTGATTACACATCAAACAATATAGTGTAGTTAGCTAGATGTAGACTGTGTAGCTTTGTAGTTTGCAACTTACTTGTATATTTAAATGAGAAACAAATGACTGACTGGATCCCATCAAGGTGGGTGTTAGGCACAGCCTCAGCCATAAAAGACCTAATTAACATGTTTTCAAGGAGAAAGTGGGATTTTGAATTCCTTTTAGCTGCCAAAAAAAACAAAATGTTCCTGACACAGCTTTACTACCAAGTGAGAAAATTAAAAAATTCATCAGCAGTAGCAAAAATCAGTTTTCAGTTTTTCTGGTTACCAGTTTTCTAGAAATTATTTGATTTTCAAATCTGCTGTTAGATTGCATTGTGCTTTTATTGAAATAGAGCATCTGGAGACTCTGCTATAAAACTCAGAAATGACGTTGCCATTAAATTTAGTCATAGGAGCATGAAATATTTTAGCTTCATTCAAAATATAAAACATTTTGACACCTTTAAAGGATAAACTCTCATACCTTCAGGACTGTCAACTGATTTTATTAGTTATGTGGTACTAGGTGCAACTTCTTTGGAGTATGCTCTGTTAATATAAAGTTCCTTGTAGTTTTAATTTTAAAGGACTTATTTGGAATGTTATTAACATTCCTCTCATTTTGTAATCCCCAACAGAATTTTGCCATTGCCAGGTAATTTAACTAGTGCAGGAATTTGACTCTGATATATACTCTTGAGGGGCAAATTCTTTGCTGATCATTTGATGGTTAGCTTTGCCAGAAGATTAGGAATATTACTATTTTAGTTTCGCAAGATGATAAGTGTTTGAAAGGGGACAGGAGAATTGGCTGAGTGAAGGTTATAGCCACAAAAACAGCAGAATTGTAAAACTGTTCTCATTGCTGATAAAATTGAGTCTTTAAATGCATAGTTGCACACATGCATGAACGTGTGCACACACACACAAACACACTTTGGGAATGTAATCTGTAAAATATGTTGCCAGTCTCAGATGATACTGTAAAATAAGTGGAGTTTTCATTTTTCTGGCTTTCTTTTCTGCTTCTTTTTATTGATTTTTAAATTAGCCTGCCCTAGTATCTTCCAGGAAATTTTAAAAAAGTTATCCTTCTCTCTTTCTTGAAGTCCCTTATAGTCTGTCACTCTGTCACATACACATTTTCACCAGAGCAAAATCTACCCTTAACTGAAATGAATGACTGCTGAATGATCAAGAATTTCAAGTCCACGTGGAATTCTTGCTCTTCAGTCCCACACTCTCCCTCCTGTGTTCCCGTCAGGCTGGTGAGCATTATGTAGTTTGTAGCCACAGCGCCACCTGGTTTTGGTTTTCCTCCTCTTATTACCTTATTCCAGTTAATCATTACCGAGACTAGTTGCTAAGTTGAAAATTCATATTGTGGAATTTCATGTGGGATAACGTAGTTGCTTTTGTTGTTTTTCGAACAATGCTTTTAAAAAATAAAGGGAAAAACGATCTCTCAATTATAGCATTTTGGAGCCTTAACATTTGCTGAACATTTAAAAGCAATGTTACATGTTTGAATTGTGGTTCTTGAAACTTTTTTACTACCTCCTTTGTCCTCATGGAGAATGTTATCCTATGCACAGAATCTGTCATTCGAGTATCTTGAGGATTTGTACAAATTGTTTATCCTGTGGCATCACATTCTTTGTGCTAACTAGTTTCTGCCTTTGACAAGGCTTTTGAAATTTGTGCAACAGAAGCTTCCACAGGTGAACGACAATGTAGTTTTGTTCACTGCTCATTCTTGGAGTGGTTAACATTTGGGGTGATACCTTGATTAAAGCAGATAAATAAGAAAATAGGTGAGACTAGCTGTGGAAATAGAAAATATAAAAATGTTAACATTCTCACACCGAATGACTTTCCTGTAAAGATTTATTTCCTTTCCAGAATCCTGTCACTTTACTCAATTCGGTCATTTTTTATTTTTTCAAATTGATATTAGTTTGCTTTGACAAATGAGTTTATCAGATTCCTTCATCTGATCAAAAATGTTAAAAGTTAGCTACTCTGTCCAATTTTTTGTCACAAACATCTCTCATCTCATAATACCTGTTTTCTTTCCACCATCCACAGCACAGTCATTTTTTTCTTCTCATCATTCAAAATGGTATTTATTTCATATTTTTGTCGGTTTTATTTTATTATTTATTTTATTTTTTTGAGACAGAGTCTTGCCCTGTTGTCAACTGGAGTGCAATGGCACGATCTCAGCTCACTGCAACCTCTGCCTCCCAGGTTCCAGCGATTCTCCTGCCTCAGCCTCCCAAGTCGCTGGGACTACAGGGGTGCGCCACCATGCCCAGCTAATTTTTGTAGTTTTTTAGTAGAGATGGGGTTTCACCGTGTTGGCCAGGATGGTCTTGATGTCTTAACCTCATAACATGCCCGCCTCAGCTTCCCAAAGTGCTGGGATTACAGGTGTGAGCCACCGTGGCTGGCTCTGTTTTATTTTAAAAATAATACATGTTTATCATAAATTATTTGACCAGTAACAAAGGAGATGAAGTAAAAAAATTCATAATTAGCCAGCCACCCTAATTCTTCTGCAGAGGCAACCACGATTAGTTCCTCATGTGTTCTTCTAGATGCTTCCCAAGCATATAAGCTAATCATCATTTGTAATGCCTACATAATATTCTGCTATTTGGTTAGCCATAATTGAGTTAACCCATTTTCTCCTGAGGACCACATTTCCTGTTTTTCTTTTGTACCTGGTATCTGCAGTTTCCCGTGGTGTTTCAGTCCTCTACCGAGGAGGGTTTCACTTGTTTCCTGTTCTTCTTTCTGTTGTACCCAATCTTGACAGAGTTTGGAAGGATGTTTTTCTTTTCTTAGAGGTGTTATTTTAGAGCACTCTCAGGACTTCAGTAGTTACATGGAATTTCTTGATGTAATGTTTTGTTTTGTTTTTTGAGATAGAGTTTTACTCTTGTCACCCAGGCTGGAGTACAGTGGTGTAATCTCGGCTCACTGCAAGCTCTTGCCTCCTGGGTTCTAGCGATTCTCCTGCCTCAGCCTCCCAGGTAGGTGGAATTATAGGCGCCCATCACTGCACCTGGCTAATTTTGTATTTTTAGTAGAGGGGGCGTTTCTCCATGTTGGTCAGGCTGGTCTCAAACTCCTGACCTTAAATGATCTGCCCACCTCGGCCTCCCAAAGTGCTGTGATTACAGTGTGAGCCACCATGGCTAGCTGTGATTTAATGTTCATAATTTTAAAACCCATGAGTGTTTTCAGGGAATTAGAGTTAACTTTTAGAAAATTGCTTTTGTAGTGTCCCTTGTCATCCTTGTGTGAGTAAAGCATTATCCTGCAGGCCGAGAGGAGAGAGTACAAGACAGAGGCCAGGCCTTGGTGGCCTCACCATGGGATTTCACTATTTCTCTTCACCTTCCCTGATGGCCTCACTGAGGGATTTCACTATTTCTCTCCAACTTTCACTGCTGAAAGTTGTTAGTATGTGTCCATTCACTGTGTGATCCTAGGACATATTTTACTGATACAGTTATTTGAGTAGGAGTTGCGTGGTGGCAGTTGTTGGGGTTTGTTTGTTTGTTTTTTGAGGTAGGGTCTGGAGTGCATTGGCATGACCTCAGCTCTCTGTAGCTTTGACTGCCTTAGCTCAA